TGGCATCACGACATGCCGTGACATGTATACTTATTAAGTACAATAATAAACATTTGAATAGTGCTTTTGAGAATATACATTATCTCAGTCTCCTGACAACAACCTGTAAGGCGGGGCAAAGTAGTAATCTGTGTGTGGCAGGTATAATTTGAAAGTGGAAAGAGAGTGGCTTGCTTAAGACTACCCACAGATTTCCCAGCAGTGGTCTGATTTCACCTGAGGACTTCCTACTTCTCAGTTTGTTCAGTTAGTGAATATGTTGCATTAGGTCTCCATGAATTTTCTGTTCAGAATGAAATATGAATGAGATTATCATATGTTTTTAGTATATCAGCCTTCTCTCTCTCTCTCTCTCTCTCTCTCTCTCTCTCTCTCTTTTTAAACATAGTGTTCTATCATATGACTTGCTACTAGGGTTGCCAGGGTTGAAGATTTTCGGGAGTGGAGCCTGGGGAGGGCGGGGTTTGGGGAGGGGAGGGGAGGGACCTCAGCAGGGTATAATGCCACGGAGTCCACCCTCCAAAACAAACACTTTTCCCAGAGGAACTGATCTTGGTCATCTGGAGATCCATTGTAATAGAGGGAGATTTCCAGGTGCCAGCTGGAGGTTGGCCTCCCTACTTGCCACATGACTTTCTGTGAGCTCCTTGTTGCAGGTTACCTTGTGCAAGCTACACATATAGTGGTCTGATCATCCACCGTACATTAGTGATCCCAGTTCTTGTGACATATTGGGTATAACGTAACATCTGTAACACAGAAGAAGAATTTGAGAAAAAATTGTTTTAAATACCACAATCAGATTTTCCTGTGTTAATAAAAAATACCCTGTATGGAAACATGACATATTTTAAGGTCAGTGCACTCTGAGACATGCAAATGTATACAGTGGGATGAATAACTTTTGCCTTAAAAATACAGTCCTAATCATTCCAGTACTTTATTACATTGATAATATAAATCACCTGGTTCATAGGAGTTTTGTGGCCATATATTATCTATAGAGGTTCTTTAACATGCAACAGTAGGCTGTGGTGTCGCATAGGCAGCATCAGTCATGTACTCTGATGTTTTATCAAGTGCACCCATGTGATGGCTGTATTGAGGGCTGAGTTTTGAAATTGTTTATACAGGAGATGGATTTGTTTGACAAGTTTATTCATGTAGCAAGTTGGATAATCATTTGTGATTCACAATTGGAATCGCTGTGGGGTTGTTAATTTAAAACTCGCACAGTATTCCTTATCAGATATTCATTAAAATGTTTGCATCGTGTACAGCCAGATCTGTATAAATCACTGCACCGTAAATTCACCCTTCTTACAGGTTTATTGCTTTATCAGGTATTCACTTAGGATCTCACTATTCTGTCATAAAACATTTTCCAGGCATGAAATACATTTTCTCATTGAGATAATATATTGTATTAATCAAGGTACACACGTCAGCTGCTGCAGGTAGAAAAACAAAGGAAGGAAAACTCTTTATTCTTGGAGCTTCTGAGGATTAGTTGGCAGCATGAGGCAAATATATTATCCAACAGTGAACACAAATACTGGGGTGTGGCATTTTCAGGGTGGAACAGCCGACAGAGAGGAGGTGCTTGTTCTTCACACGCCCACTGATTCTCTTCACAAATCATCTTCCAGTGGTTTTACCGTTGTTTGCTTTATGCGCTGTGTATTATTTTGGTGAGTCTCGTTTCTATCATGCACAGGTGTTTCCCCTTGTTTCCACCATGCGTGTCCGTCAGGTTTTCTTTGTCATTGTGCATTGATTTTCCTCCCTTCAGTGCTAAGTTTGTTTTCTGGTTGCTGTTCCCCAGGTTTTCCGACTATGCTTTTAAGTGCCAATTTTCTCCCTGTTTTGCTTCTGAGCCAAAGGTAATTCAAAAGCATACAGTTTCCCTCAGATTCCCCCACATACCCTATTGCCGCCCCTCAAAGGTCACTCCCCCACCCTCATTGAGGTCATCCCGCCTACTTCCTTAAAAAATAGTAGCACAGCCACAAACAGACTTATACACAAAGTACTACACACGTGGCTGTAGGGAACCAGTACAAAACTGACAACTACAATTTATTAATCCATATAAACATAGTTTGTAAGATAATAACCAGTAATAAACATATATCAAAGTCCTTTGGTCCCTCTCCTCAGGAGTAACATGTAGAATGTGGCATTCCACTTCTTCTTTTCAGTAGGAGAGAACCCTAAAGTTGTAACAAATCCCATATACCATTCTTTTTTCAACTAGAGTGAATGAAGCAGTAAGAATTCCAGTCCTCAACTCTTTCAGACATCTTCTGTCAGATAAGATTAATGAAGCAGACCTTACCAACTGCATTATTCCAATCTTAGCTGTTGCATCTTGAATAATTGGCCCTTCCTGGCAACTAACTCCCCCCACACCTGAGGAAATGCACATCTACACATGCTGAGTTTCTCAGTTATTGCTTACATGCAGAATTGAACTTTATTGGTCTTGGAGGTGCAATTGGACCCAAACTTAGTTCTCACTAAGTTTGCCAGGGGTCCCCCATTTTGGGGGGGTTCTACCCGCCATTGGCCAGATGGCCGGCAGGGGAAGCCCCGCCCCCAACACCCACAGCCACCCCTCTCCCTTCTCTCTTGAGAGAGAGGGGTGGCTGCCTTTAAGTTCATGGAACCCGTGTTTCCTCCCAAGCCCAATCTCCGCTTGAGATCAGGCTTTCAAGGAAATGCCAGCTTCGTGCACTTAAAAGGGAAACGCCAGCTCTTTGCTCTTAAAGGGGAAACACCGGCTCCGTGTACTTAAAAGGGAAACGCCGGCTCCTTTAAGTGCAGGAAACTGGGGTTTCTGGAGATCGGGGGCGTGGGGTGGTGGTGGCGGACCTCCCCAACGTGACGTCATCACGTCGGTGATGCCCCGCCCCCTCCAGGTGTTGGTCCAGGTGAATTGCATGGATAGCAAATCTTTTGGTAAAATTTTTACATTAAAATAGTTACCAGATGGACTTTTTCAACCAATGTACAAACTGAACATTATGTTGAAAATGGCTGCCTAAGAGGGTGTTCTGGTTCCAGTTTGACAGAGCAGGACATCTCTATGCTCTGTTTAGAGACTGCCAGTTTTAATCTTATTTTTTTCATCTCTTTTTTGCATTTATCCTCCCTATTTTCATTTTTTCTCTAGTATGTAGCTTCTGTCACCTCTGTGTAGCCGTAATCTTAGGTTCCCTCCTCTCTCGGTTATTACCTAAATGAGAGTATGGATGAGGGAGTGGCAAGAAAACATCTGAGGCTTGTTAGAGCTCTTGAGACTTTCAGGTGTTTATTTATTTGGGGTGGGGGTTATACTAAATTTCTTCAACAGTTACTATTATAAGCAGGGCCTTTAAAAAAAAAAAGAGAGAGAGGTGCCGGAACTCTCAAGAGGGAAAGGAAGTTTTCAATCTGTATACTGAAAACTCACGAACTTTTAAACATTTTTAAAAGAATTTTGTCAAAGAGGTTCTGGCACTCTGTTCCGGTGCATTCCTCCAGAAAAAAAGCCCTGAATAGAGTTGGGGGAGTTGGTTTACTTGTATAAAGGGAGCCTGGGTTTTTTAGTAAATATACTAAGGGAGTAGGCAGACAGTTTGAAGTAGCATATTCTGCTGCAATTTACAATTTACAACATGCCAGTGTCTCTGTTGACAGTAAATTTATATCATGGCAATTAAGTTGGGCTCTCCCCCACAGCTGGTTGTTTTAAAATTCACTCCTCTTTACCTTCACTGTTTTAGCAATAGACTTGTAGCTTATTCTTAAGCCTTTTAAATGTTATAATATAGTTCATTTATTTTATAGCACCTACCACCATTTTATTATTTTAAATATATAATTTTTAAGTATTTAAATAATTTCTTTTGAATTTATTTTATTGATTTTACTGTTTTTATTGACTACATTATATATGATCGCAGGTGTTTAGAATGAGTAGGAAAAGGGGTTGCCCTTTCAATTCTATTAATTCTCCTACTCCAAAACAAAGTAAGTTAGACAACTTTTTTACCTTGGGAGTCGACACCTCTAATAGAATTCATATTTTACAGGACGAACGGCCAGAAAACGATGTTATTGAGGTACAAGTATGCAGGAGAAGCCTATTTCAGATTCTGTTTCTAGTGCTGACCTGGTTTCGTCAAAGAAACTCTGTTCTTCGGAAACGAAGAGGGGGGAATGATGATCAGTCAGATATTTTAGACATTCTAGCCTCACAGACATTCTTAATAGGTGAAACTCTTCAGAAAATGCATGATAAGGTTAATTCCCGGGGTAACCAAATAGCCTCCTTTCCCATGCTGGAAACTGGTGTAAAAAACAATTGGATGAAGTCCATCTTATTTCTCTAAATACTCCTAATAATGGCTGTCTATGATATTTGTTTGGAGATGGTGCTCACTAATGATTTCCTCTTGGTTTCACTTTCAGTTTATATTACATTGAACCCTTGAAATGCTTGTTAAACTTAGCCTTAGGGTTGCCAACCTCCAGGTGGAGCCTGGAGATCTCCCACTATTACAATTGATCTTCAAATGACAGAGATAGGTCACCTGGAGAAAATGGCTGCTTTGGAGGGTGCACTCTGGGTCATTACACCTTGCTGAGGTCCCTCCCCTCCACAAATCCCAACCTCCACAGGCTCCACCCCCGAAATATCCAGGAATTTCCCCATTCAGAACAGGCAGCCCTATTTAGCCTTCTGACTGTGTCGACTGCTACAAATTTTCCTGTAGGAGTGCTTAAATAGCATACAAGCTACAGCAGAACTATGTGAAGGCACCTGCAAGTGACTTCTTTTTTTGTACCCAAGTTTGTTTTTCTAGAAACTATCCCAACATGAAAAAGGACAAAGTTGAAATAGTGAACTACATTATTTAACCACTCACACAACTCACTTCAGAACAATTCCATTACTGTATGGTTCTCTTTCTTGTTTCTTGTTTATTTTATTTTGTTTGTTTTATTTTGTTTAGCCTTTGAGTAAATACCCTCCTGTGATCAACGATATCTCTTTTTGGCTGTCCTCGGAAAAATATTCTGCAAATGACTTCTATGATTTGGTCCGAAGTATTGGAGGAGACGTGGTGGAAAAAATTGAGCACATAGATGAGTTCACACATCCAACGTAAGTAAAACATATTATTTGATTGTTAGATGGTTATGATAAATATTGTCTCCAATGTTTTAACTTTGTACTTATATTACGCTCTGGTTTTAACTTGTTTTAATTATGTGTTTGTGTATTCGATTTAATGGCTTTTAAAATGAGATTTTAATTTGTATGTTTTTTAATTTTTTAGTCATATTAGTAGCCCTATTAATAAATAAATAAAATATCTATAAATGTAGACAGGCTGCATGCATCTAGCTGGACTATATGGGTTTTGGTCAGGTTCTTGTCTGCTGGCCTGAAAAGGGGGATGTAAATGTAGAACAATAGTAAGATCTCTTCCACATTCTCATTTTAATCACTTTGTTTTCCCAGTTGCTTTGACTGTTTTTCTTTTCTTTTCTACACATGTTTTGCACCCTCTAGTGGTCAAATCAATATTACATCAATGTGTGTTCAGCAAAAAACCCCTGCAGTTTAAATCTGTGGGTTTTTATGTTGACAGACAGTGATATGATATCAAATCAAGATTACAAGCAACCCAAGCGACAATAAATTTGAATGCAGAAGAACTACAAGTTGATTACTTGCATGATTGAGCCATGCAGAGTGGAGACCAAGTTAAGAATAGTGAGCAGAAAGAGAGAAATATGAACTTGAAGACAACACTGTATTATGCATGTGGAGAATTTATCAGAACTGGTGGTCACAAGTGAAGGGAAAAAGTAGCTAAAAAGCAAGGGTTGGAAAGAAGAAAGTCGAGATGCAGGAAAAGGCGAGTGTTAAAATTCCCAGTGCAAAGAAGCAATCTGTGTTTTTCAGTCAGATATTGGGTTTTGGGTGGAGCGTATCCATGTCATATAAATATACTTCTAAGAAAAGGAACTATAGAAAGCAGAAGCTACATATGTGGATTTTTGACTGCATCATAAATGCTGGGGTTATGTTCAGTACAGATGGAATGTTTAATACAGGAAGCCAGGTGACAGCTGTCATGGGAAGAAATCTGAAGTTGCCTCCTCAAGGACCTGACTGAACCCATGGACTTCTATTAGGTAAAGGTTTCCCTTGCTCAAAAGCTAGTCGACTCTGACTCTAGGGGACGGTGCTCATCTCTTTTTCCAAGCCGAAGATCCAGTGCTGTCTGAAGACGTTTCCATGGTCATATGGCCGGCATGACTAAATGCCGAGGCGCATGGAACGCTGTTACCTTCCCATCAAAGTGGTACCTGTTTATCTACTTGCAATTTCTTGCTTTTAAACTGCTTGGTTGGCAGGAGCAGGGGACCAGAGACGGGAGCACACTCCGTCACGTGGCACTAGGCTCTTGAACTGCCAAACTAAAGACCTTCCGGTCTGCAGCTCAGCATCATAACGTCTGAGTCACTGCAGCCCTCATGGACTACTATTACCAGCCTTTAAAATATATTGATGTCTTTTACACTTTTTACAACTTCCTTCTTGTGGTTGTTTGGGATGCATTTTGCTGATCAGTGAGTTGCCTTAATGAGAAGCTACATGTGAGTGTCAAAACCTTCGCCATTTTTCATTACGAAAAGCAGCTTTCAGGGAGGGGGATTTTGAACAGAGCACTGATGTAGAAATGGATGCTTAATACTTTCTCTGCTCCAAAGCTCACCTCTGCTACTTCCTCCCACGGGAAAAGGTATATTTACCCTTGTGCACCTGCATCTGGAACCCCACAGAGAGGAAGGAAGCCTGGGGGGAGGGCAATTTAAAGTTGGGAAATGATCAACAGGGAAAGGGTTGAGCACATGTGTGCACACACACATAGCTCAACAAACGCGAGTAGTTAATAGTTAGCTGTCTGAATCTGAAATATTCAGCAATACAGAGAAGAGTCAATAAGGAATAATGAGAATGTAAGGGAGGGAGATCTATATATTTTTTTTCTGCTACTGGGAAAGGAGTAATAGTAATAATCATGCAGTTAGATCGAAACAGCAACTTAAATGGATGTTGATTTAAAAAGCAATCTGTAATGTATATTGTAACCATTGTTTGTTGCAGGGCTCTTTTTGTAGAAAAAGCCCAGCAGGAACTCATTAGCATAATAGGCCACACCCAACAGCAGGAACTCATTAGCATATTGGGCCACACCCCTGACGGCACAGCTCATTAGCACATTAGGCCACACCCACATGTTACCAGAAGTGTGGTCATCCAGCCACACCCACCTTTTGCTTGTTATTCTGTTTACCTTGTTTGTTGTCAAAACCCAGGGCCTTTTTTTGTAGCAGGAGCTCCTTTGCATGTTAGGCCACACACCCCTAATGTAGCCAATCCTAATGAGTTTCTGCTGTTGGGTGTGGCCTATTATGCTAATGAGTTCCTGCTGGGCATGGCCAACTTGGGAGCCAGCCGGAACTCCGTTCCTGTGCGTTCCTGCCCAAAAATAGCCCTGGTTTGTTGTTTGTCACTGCCTTGTGGGTACTTGTTTGTTAAACATATTTATTAAAAACCAAATTATCACCAAAAAACATAAAGTCCATCACAAGTGACCTTCTGTTGCAGCAACATCTGAAAGCCCCGTTTTGTACTTTCCTCACAAATACAGTTCAGTTCCCTTTTAGTTACTCACAACAAAGAAGAATATCTTTCTGTTCAAAGTGTACAGTTAGATTTCCTTTATCTAGTGCCAAAGCTGGAAGTTGGGCTGAGCGACTTGACAAGAAAAATCTCCCTTCCCTAGATTTAGGTAAAGGAGTACAGAGGAAGACCCACACAAAACTCTAATGCAGAAATGAACTATGCTGTCAGGGTTACATAAGAAGTAAATTTTTAATCAGAACAACTATAAATACCCTGGGAAAAAGCATCACAGGAGACAGGAAGCCAATTGATTTTGCTGCTTTTTGCTGCTTTGTTGTTGCCTTCATTTTCAAAGCAGGAGAGGGAACGAATGAAGAAATCTCTCTCTCTTTTTTTAATGGTTTGAATGATTTGCTTGTTTACTTTCTGGAAACAGAGTCATTCATTTGTAAATGTCTAAAGAAAATATTAATACCAGGAAAGGAAAGCTTATGGCTTCTATTATTTAGTGAGATGTTAGCGTTTTCAAAGCTCTGGCTATGCTACAATACTTCAGAATATAATGATTTTGGTCACCTCCTTGAACTGGCAAATTTGAGGGCCGGGGAGGGGGAATGTCAACAGATAAAACGTCTGCTAAATGCAGTCAGACAGATCAATTCATAACTTCAGATCTTCTAAAAACCCATTTTATTTGAAGGTCTTTTCGTTTCATTACTAGATTGCTACAAGTGTTCCTCCCAAAACTGCTGACACGTTTTCATATGTAAAGAAAAATAATTGCTTTTAAATCTGTATACCCAGATTGTGCCTGTCTTGAATTCTGGCTTGCAAGAAGGAAATGGTCATGATACAGTATTGTTTGTTGCTAAAATTATTTGAATTAAAACCCAGTCAGCTCAGACCTCAAACACTTCATCCTGAACACACAGCAGTTTGCAGTGGGGTGGCAGGGGGTACTACCTTGAACTGCTAGGGTTGCCCGTCATGCGGATCCTGCCCTGACCCTAGCTCCTATTTCTCTCTGCCACTCTGAGCAGGAGTGGGAGAAAAATTGAAAAATGGCCCTCAGGCCTGTGAAATTATAACATTTCCAATCAGTCCTCTCTAGGAAGCTCCTGACAACAGTGCGGTGCTAACCAAGCAATAGTCTTGAAAGTATTTTCGCCTATAAAGCCACCAGTGAATGAGCAGAGATGGCTTGACCACAGTCAACAGAGAGTAGAGATGTGGAATTAACGAGCTGTATCCGTTCGTGCACAAGAGCCTCTCTTTCCTTAAAAGGAAGACTCAACTGGCTGGGCTCAAAGTGGCTTTCAGATTGGCTTTTATTGTTGTTGTTGTTGTTGGTTTGATTATAGTGCTCTCTCTCTCTCTCTCTCTCGCTCTCTTTCACATTAAGAGCGAGCTATGGAGCATGTGTTTGCAGAATATAACATTATGTTTCATGTTTGGCCATGTGCCCAACCTATCTGTTTGTTTCAAGCAACTCAGGGAAATCAATGACATAGTAAATATGGAATCTGAAATGAAGCATCTTGAACTACGTGATCTACTCATATTGCCTTTTCAGCTTAATAATTCATATGCGGACTTTGGCAGATGGGAGCAAGAAGGATGCACTTTAGCGCTGAAGTTGGCTCCTGGCTGTGTCTTTCACCTTAATAAGGTGATCAAAATTGTTAAAATTCCGGGTGAAGGCACCTTTCCATCCTCCGTCTTTTTCTTCACCATCTTTCTTCCACAGCATAAATGAACACGTTCCACATCCACAGAATGTTATTCGGGGAGTATGAGACAAAGCTTAAGAAGCTTCCAAGAGCCATGCTACATTTTTAGACCTCTGATCTCAAAAGTTCCAAGGGTCCAGATGTGTTTGCAGTGAAGGATGCGGTTTGAAAAGGTGTATGAGAGGTGACAGCTGTGTGGTGCCCATTTTACTCAGGCTTCCTCGGGAGTCAGCTGTTTACTGTAGTGTTTGTTAAATATCCTAATTCCTAGGGTGTCCCTTGCTTCCGAGAGTGCGTGCTCTGCACACTTACCTGGAGGGGAAGAAAGAACAGATGAGGGAAACGTTGTCACCGGCATCCCCACTGCACAGGAGAAAGCTCTACCGTGCCTAATAAAAAAACCTGGCCCTTATGGATGATGCGTATGATTTCCCAGCTGGCCCTGGAACTGAGGTCTGTTGAGGAAATTAATAATGCACATTATAGTTCAACTATAGGGCAGCCACAGAACCAAAAAAAGAAAAGTTTTATAAAAGGCTGACAGTTTTGTTGCAGCTCTGTTAGAAGGAACTTTCTCTTCCAGGTCTGCTTCAGTGCATATGCTTTTTTCATTCTGAAACATAAGTGATCAAAAGGGTCAGTTTTCACCACACTGCACTAGGGGCTTGTCTGGAAAGTGAAGGAAGAGAAGGATTTGCATATCTTTTATGATTGTATAAAATATGGGCAGAT